ACAGTTGGTTCTAGCGAGTAGGGCAGGATCTCTGCGATGGATGCACGAATCACTGGAGGCGAGGCTACGATGTGGACTGACACCCCTTATCGAAGAGATAGCAGACCAACTGGCGGCAGCCTTCCGAACAGCAGCGGGAACCTATCAGGGTGTGAGTCCAGTTTTGGGGGGAAAGTGTACAGTTCCCAATTGATGACTACCACGTGTCAGAGGAGCATTGCGGGGCCAACTTAGGTGACTTATAATGGGTGCCCGGGTGCACCACCCGGGGGTGGTCGGGGGGGCGTGGAGACGAGAGTGAGAGAGTTGGAGATATGAAATGGGGAGAGTTTACGGTGGGAGCAGGAGTAAGGCGAGGCAGAGAGGGGGGGGCACAGAGCGCGGGTGGCCGGGGTGTTTTAGGTTGGCAGGGGGATGGAGGGTGGGACACCGTGCGTGGTGCGTGGGGCTCGCTTAGGCTGAGAGTGTTACAAAGGTTGTAAGTGAGCCCTTCGTATCATACGGATGCTCGCCCCAACTAATCCGGCCCTTACAGTGGCGGGCTCTTTGACTTCAGAAATGCCAAATACAGAAGTATGGAGGGCCCGATGCCAACCCCGGATATCACACCAGGACGAGACAGTCCGAGTTTGGCCATTCCAGCACAGAATGCAGAGTCAGACAACAGATACCAACTAAGCTTTATTAAGACAGGTTACAGAAAATAGACGACTGGAAAGACTAGAGAAAGTCAAGGTCGCCCTCCCTCCCCACCCTTGTGAGACAGGACCAAACATGCACAGACTTATCACTCATCATCACTCTCCGAAACCACCAGCCCCGTCCCCGTCCCGCCGGCCGGGAGGTGGGCGAGATGCCTAGTAGGATCCAGATAGCGGTGCAGGGTACCCAGAGAGCGGATGTGTGCGGAGTGCATGAGATCCTCATCGGAGACCCCCTGAGACTGGGCATGCTGCAAAGCACCCCGATGAAAACTGTGCACCGTCTCTCCACCGTATAGCCCAGCAGCGGTAAGATGAGTGACGAGGCGATATTCCAGGGCCTCAGTCGTCATCGGCACCTCCCGATTTGTGCGGCCACTGTGCTCCGCCGGACGGAAAAGGTATTGGGTGATAGGGGCACCTGCCCCCACACAAGTGCTCATGTACACCGCGAGAACTCGTAGCATGCAGATGAGGGGATCACGATCTGGACACAGCATCGTCGCAGGAGCACGCTGACCCTTGTACGTCTTGGTATTTAATTCTTCTATGTGTAGTACAGTGTCGGGAGAAACACTCCCGTCGGGTGCTGGTAGGGGTAACGGCCAGCCCTGGTACTCAGTACGACCATGCACCATATCCCTGAAATCACTTAACGCCAGCTTGCCAACATCATGACCTCGCTGATGAGTATGCCACATTAAAGCAAAGAGTGACAAGTCCCGAAGCACCAAACTGCAAGCAAACAAATGCTCTTCGTCGCCGGAGGCAATCCACAGATGGCAGGCCAGGCGACGAAACTTCTCCACGGTCAAGGGGATGGTGCCTCGCTCCACATAACCGGCATCACTCAGGTCCCGTCCGTAGCCCTTGACATAGCCTCGCACCAATGAGCTGTCACAGGGATTCCCGCGGCATTGAGAGGCGTCATAGTCCCCTTCCCGGCCCAGCTGCTTAAAGGCAGTCACAAGGCTCGATATAACCCCTTTTACAGCACTGTGCTGGGATGCCGGTCTGCCTGCAGACGCCCAGGGTGCCGAGGGAACCACCATTCCACCAGATACGAAACAATGGACATAGGATCGCAGGTGAGCAAGGTGAGCCCGAGAGACTGGTGCTGCAACCAGCCATGAAATTCTCGCGCAGCACTTTGAACCCGCCGCCAGCTCTCAGAGACCCACTGACGTTGGTGCACCTGGTAGATGGAGAACAAGGCGGCCGTGAGCGGCGGCCGCTCTGACGCATCCCCGGTAAACTCAGAGTAATACAGAACCGCGACAGGGTCCAAAGGCGGCGGCGCCGACCTCGGGAGACGGATAGGGCCCGCAGCAAGCGGAGGCATGGCAGGGAGAGCACTACCAGGAAAGACCTGTGGTGATAGTATAGCCGAGGCGTAGGACACACTAAGCTGACGGACATCCATCGAAAATAAACCAAACGTACCAGCGGCAGGTGTAACGGCGGGACGATGAGATCGTCACGCACAGGCGTAACGGTAACGAATCGATGAGCAGGCGAAGTAGGTGGGTCTTGGCCCCACGGCAAGCCGCCAGGTACGAGAGGAAACATAATGCTAACGGATACTCGCGATAACACGAGTACTTGATTCAGGAACACGGACAATTATTACAATAAAACGGGGCGCGATCGCGCTTCCAAAAAAATTGGATATCACCGAAAAGGGCCTAAATTCGTTCGTGCGTGGTGCGTGGGGCTCGCTTAGGCGGAGAGTGTTACAAAGGTTGTAAGTGAGCCCTTCGTATCATACGGATGCTCGCCCCAACTAATCCGGCCCTTACGGTGGCGGGCTCTTTGACTTCTTTGCCCCCTTGACCTAAGTTGAATGCAACAGCGGGCCGTCTCATGGTGATATCATCAAATATTTTATATATAAATAGTGTATAAGCTCCAAATCGTCAGCTTTATATGTGCAGAAGGCATTTGGGGCGACTTATGGCCGAAGTAATGAACCAGTACGGCCAACTGACCAATTATCCCATTTCTTCCAGGTTCAGACCCCCATTTATTCCCAAAAAAGTAATATATTACCACAAACGTTTTGAGATGAAATTTAGCCCGAGAGGCGTTGATGTGACTTGAGCTCGGTCAATTGAGGCAGCCAAAGTTGTCTGTGCTCATACAATTTTTGTTGGCAACAGGCGAGATACCTTGCAATAGAGAATGCTATATAGTACCATTAACGAGTTTCAGCCGGGCGACATATTATGTTTAAGCAGCCCCTCGCACAAATGTGTCCGGTCGTACTGTGCCGAATAAACCGTTCGTACATCGTCCCAAAAGCCAGGAGTGAATTTTACCGCGCGGATGCGCGCGTGGGATTCGCAAAATGCGCCTGTACAAGTGTATATAAATTTCTTGGAGGTGCGCCAGCGCATTGCGCAGGTGGTCTTGTTGGCCATAGTCGCACCCGGCATGCAGGCTGGACTATTGCGTGGCTGCTTTGCAGTATCTGAAAGCACCGAAAGCCTACGTCGTAGCTTGCAACACTGGGCTCGTGAAACTGCCGCGGGAAGATGAAGCGTTCGGCGAAGAAGCAGTTGTGTGCAAGCCATAAGGCACATGGTTCCGACTAAACTCAAGTTACACTCTTACGAAATAAATAATAACAACGCAGAAGTAGGTAAAGATATGAATCGCGAAAGTCGTTCAGAACCTTGAAAAAATGGATGCCGCTGAGGGCTTGGAACAGCTTTTCGCAGCGCATTCGGCCGTGCCTGCGTTAGCCGTGTTGCAGCAACTACGGAAGGACTTGAGCCAGCAGCAAGCTCAAATGCTGCTGCACAACCACCGGTGTGTCTTCAGTTGGGCACGTGTAGTTTTGGTCGGCGGGGTCGAGCATCGTATGGATTGCGCACAGAAACCAAGGTGCAGCGTCTCTGTAACATCGCCAACATATCCGGTACGCGGTGGCAGGCTTGCCGAGCACGAATGAAGGGGGGTCGCATCTCACCATTCAACTAAGCATGCATGTGCTCGGTTGAATGCTCGGTAGCATGCGAGTTTACCTATCAGGATGTTTGTTTGCATATCCCTCCAAGCGAGAGGGCTTGGACCTATGCTGATGTTCGTTCCAAGAAGTCAACTGAGGACTGATGCTACGGTGAAAGGTATGCACGTAAATTCGCCCGTGCGCCAAACGCCCTGTAACTCGCTTACGCTAATCTCACATTCCAATATGCCACTGCACTTTCCTCTCCAGCCTGGCCACATTCTCTTCCTCGCAAACGTACTTGGGCACCTTACAATCCAACACCATACGTGCTTTGGAAACGCGGGCAGCTGCTTCACAAGGACCCCCCTATTTGGTCCATTACACACACACGGCCACACGGCCACACACACACACGGCCACACGGCCACACACACACACGGACATGGGCAATCCTACAGGTCGGGGGCCCCCTGGGCGCTTCGCGCTGGGGCCCCGCCCAAATAATTGTTGCAGATTCCGCTTAGCAGGTAGAGCCAGCGACGGATAGAATCCTCTTTAGGCTGCACGACTTAGGGCCTTGTTCATTGGCCTTCTTCCCTATAGAGACTGTACGGCATCATTGGCCTTCTTCCCTATAGAGACTGCACACGGCGGCATCATTTTTTACCTAAGGGGTTACCTTTTTAGAGTCAGAAAGAAAGGAAGAATTATTTTTTTTACCTAAGATCTACACCTTTTCAGGAAGAACTAAGAACTACTATTATAAATTTTTGGCCGATCATTGGCGAGCGCAATAATGAGCGGTAGCAATGAAACGAAAGCAGCAGGAATTAGGGAAGGGCGGAACAGGAAGGAAGTGCGCAAATTATTACTGGACGAGGCTGACACGTAGTCGCGAAGGTAAACTGCTGCAGGCAAACGCCACCAAGCGTCCTTACAATCATAACTATTCCTGGATTTACATGTAATACCAGTAAGCGGTATTGCGAGGAGGGGAAAACAAATGTTTATTGCTCCTCTGTTGTGCGGGGAGGGTTCCTACTAGTAGGGGCGCTGCGCTCGACCTGTTCGGGGTCCACTAGTACTGTAACAATCGCATTCTACAGTTAGAGCCTAATAAGCAACACGGCAACACCAAACCCCCGCCACCAGCCAACCCCACTAAAATTCTCATTTCCCCATAGCTTAGCACAAAACCCCCGCCATTATTTAAGACTTTCTTTTCTTTCACATGCATGTCCGGCAATGGAGACTGTCCTGGAAAAATAAATCACAATAAGTTTAATTATATAATTGAACACCAACATGACTGTAACATTAACTTCCAACCACCAGCAACCGTGATCTTACCCGCAACCAGAGGGAGAGAGGCGGCCCATACGGGAAGCCAACGGCCCCAGCAGGCGCTGCAACGGGGCCGGGGGCTAGAGAGCACGTCCCTTCAGAGAGACGCATCTCCCTCGTCAGGTTTATATACTCGACGGCAGCAGTTAGAAAATGTGGGCAGGCATGCACCCAAACAGATTCGGACTGGCAGCTACGGCCACTACTATGCATGCCGGCACCCTGTAATGCTAACTGTCCGTTTCTTTGCAATAATATTCCATTTCTTGTCCTTGCCATATGACCCTCGCGCGATCAGCAGCAGATTGAAATGTACATACACCATACCCAAACCATCCAACTAGTAATTACATACTCCTTCTACAACAAGCCATCGGGTAAATATTATATTTTATCATTACATTTTGCATGCGTCAATTATCAGCCCAACAAGCTCGCTCAGACCAGCACTTGACTGACGGGGCAACAGGTGAAATCATCGTTGGACAGTGCGAACACGCAGCTGTTGCCGTAGCACATTCCCGCCGGTGTACTGCAGGGACTGGTCCTAGCCAGCTCCAAGCAGATGTACAAGCCGCCGGAGGGGGTCGTGGGAAAGATGTCAGCCAGGCGGCGGAGTGTCATGATGCCGTACGTCTCCCCCTTCCATGTTTTAGAGCTGAACAGCGGGACCACTGAAACGCCGTTGATGGTGACGCTGCGGATGGGGTTCAGGTCCTCGTCCACACAGCCACTCTCTGTCATGCATGCGCGGCGATGTGTGTATTTATGTAAGCATGCGGCCGATTTATAGGTACAAGCAGCTTTTGGGGAGCCAGGAGCCAGGTAGAGCAGGGGAAGGAGAGACAGCTTGCTTGCTTATCATGGCTAAACAGATAGAGGAGTAATGAAGCAATACTTAAGCAACAATCGATGATATATGAGGGAATCGTCAAATTAAAAAACGAAGTTTTACAATAAATGCTTGCTTAATAAATAATATTGTGGACAAATATAATTAATATTTACATGATGTAATTTAACGTAATACAATTAAATATCAAGCAATTATTGGGTGAATAAAGAGCGACGTATGTGAAATTGAGTAGTGTCTATAGACCACTTCAGGCTTACCTATCATACCATAGCACCATCTATGGACCATTCTATACCATGGAACTATATAAATTATATCTTTTCCGGTCCTCTCTCTATGAGTGAGTGAGTGAGTGAGTGAGTGAGTGAGTGAGTGAGTGAGTGAGTGAGTGAGTGAGCGAGTGAGCGAGTGAGCGAGTGAGCGAGTGAGTGAGTTAGTGTGTGTTACATGGTCGTGGGGTTGCGTACCCGTACCTGCAAACCGCGCAGTAGCATCATATCATCCTCATGCTCGGTCCTGTCTACTACACGATGACCCTGTCTATAGAACATACTAATAAATGTTACCGACGGAGGCAGGAGCGGCATAATTATTCCCAGTCATATGTATACCACCGCACTATCCTGGGGTTCCCATGCATACCCCATGCATGAGGATGAGCGGAAAGATGAGCAGCTCCCCATGCAGCATCCCCCTGGTCTCGCTCTTGTGCTGCCTTTCCTGACCCACTTCGCTCGCTTTGTTGCTTACCGATGATCATCTCCATCCTGTTAATGGTCATTCCCGCACACGGGCTGGCGCTGTTCACTGTTGCGGTGGCGGCAACTCGGAAGCAGTACGTGGCACTGGAAGCCGTTGTATTCCACGGCCCGCTGGGTACGGACATTCGGTACGGCGTCAGGCTGACGTCACGGGCATTGCAGGAGGTAAAAAAAGGGAAACTTTGCACAAGTTGGTTGTTGTTGCCCACGGGGGGTGGTGGGGTTGAGAGGTTGGGGGCCTTGGGCACCTTGGGTGGTTTGGGGGCTTTGGGTGGGACAGGCGCTTTGGGCGGTTTGGGTGCTTTTGGTGAACTGGGTGATCTGGGCGCCTTCGGAGGCTTGGCGGCCGGCGGAGGTGGGGACGGCGACTTGGAAGTGAGTTGAGGTGGTGGCGGGGATGGAGGCGGAGGACGTTGGCTGGGTGGCGGTGGAGATGTAGGCAGCAGAGAGTTTGGCAGAGGCGGCGATGGCATTGGAGGTGGTGGTGACTGGGATGGCGGCGTGGGGGGCCCCGGCGATGGAGGTGATGGTGGCTGTGTCGATACAGGTTGTGGTGGGTTAGGTAGTGGGGGATGGGGCGATACTTGGGGCGAGGAATTGGGTGGTGCGGGAGAAAGCACGGCCGGTGGTGGAGGAGTGAGCACGGCTGGTGGTGGAGAGAGCACGGCTGGTGG